GTAGGGGTCGCCTGGCTTCGTAGGCAAAATTTGTGAGAAAATGGCCTCCAAAGTCGTTAGACTTCCAAGCTTGAATGTCTTTGAAAACTGCACATTTACTATTGTTGTGCCTTTCATGAGTTATTTAGTAAAAATCTATATAGAAATAGTTTTTAAATAGATGTAAAAGATGATGAGCCAAAAAAAAAAGAAAAAAGAAAAAAAAAAGAAAAGAAATTGAAACGAAATTTCCAAACGGTCAGAAAAATGCTGGTTTCTTTAAAGTCATTATTTTGAAGAGCGCCTCATTTCAACAAGATGTGTCACAAGTGACATTTTTGAAGAAGTAACTGGCAAAGAAACTTGAAATCAGCTGACAGCCAAATGCTACATGTTCATTTGTAAAAGTTTCATCAAACATGTGAGCTCGTGCAACCACACACACACACACACACACACACACACAAACTCTCTCCCTCTCTCTCTCACACATGCACACACTCACGCAAGCAGGCGTGCACACACACACACACATATACATACATAGTTTTACTTCATTTACAAATTTCTTTTGCCCCTCCAATGAAATTAGCAAAGACAAGTTGGCCAGCTTCTGCCCAACATCATCCATATTTTGAAAACATACAATTATAGCTTGTCCACTTTCGTCTGACAAAGGTTAAAGCACAATAAAATGAAATCACAGGGTTTAATCATCTCAGATCTTTGCATACGGGTCTTGCATACAGTTGAATGACCAACAGAATCTGAAAGCCCATATATAAAGGTCCCAGCAAACTAAGTTTCCGACATGTTATTTCTACGTTAGCCTAAAGCGGGTCAAAAAATAATTGAAGGATATTTAAAACATACACCTAAAGCATTAAAAAGTTGACATATGTTCCCCAACACTACACTTTAAAGTACGCCTAAGATACACGATTCAAGAGACGGGGTGAGACATTTTCCGAAACTCATGTGGAGCTCGTGGAGACATCTAGACAGCCAGGGGATGAAATGTACAAATTTACACTGAAACGTGACAGCAGGGTGGTGTCGCTGCCTCAAAATGAGCAACTTGTAAGCAAAGTCACTATAACTGTAAGTCATTAATTTCAGTGATCCTGTGTATGCACCCAAAGACCAGTTTATAATACAGGCCCAAATAGATAAAAACTTTAATTTATGGATCAATATCTTTTAAACAATAATTTTGTTTGGCCACTGGCCTGCAGAAGTGCCATGCAAAGTTTCAAGGGTATAGGATAGGTACATTAATAAATGAACTACAATTTTTTTAGTGCTGACAGACAAAAGTGAACAAACTATAGAGCAAAACAAACACCCATTACAAACATTTCTCCAAACATACAGAATCTACACATTCAAAACAACAACAAAAATCAAAAACTTAAAATTACCAAGGCTTTTCTTTTTTTATCGACCTAGGCGACTTTGGTACTTTTTTCTCAGGAGACAGCTTCGTTTCAGAAGTGCTGGACTTTCGGTGCCTTTTTTTCTTCCCGGAATCTTGACTCTCGTTTCCCTGAGATTGCTGAGGGCTCTTAGGAGTACGGTGAATCATATTGCCAGCAAGGTCCTCAGACGGCGCTTCCTCCTCCTCCTCCTCCTCCCCCCTGGGCTCTGTCTTAACAATGATATGATGCGCCGTAGGTTCCTCTGCTTCGCCAGGTTCCGAAGCAGACTTCAGTCTCGAACTGAAAGGTAAAGAAAATGATCGATAAGACACTGGAAAAATTGTTTTGTTGTTGCTTTTTTCTAGGTAAGAGTTTAGTTTTAGTTTTAGTAAAAGTTTTAAAGCATTTGCATCACAATGAGGTCATATAAGTGCCGAAGATTAGAGGTGTTACAAGAGAGTAACAAACACAAAAAAGAAGGAGGAGAGATCAGAACGATAGACATTCGATAGGAAAGAAGGAGCAAACCACACCAGAGCACCCGCCAACCACCCATGGTAAGAGTTTAACAGCATTTGCCATACAAATAGGTCATAAAAGAGCCAAAGCTTGGGTGTTACAAGAGAGCGTCACAGAAAAGTAAAAAATGGAGGAGAGATAACGATGATAGACGTTTGATAGGAGAGGAGGAGAGATAGGGAAGATAAATGCTTGATAGGAGAGAACAAAACTCCACCACGCCAGAGATTAGGGACGTTACATGAGCATAACAATCACAAACAAGGAGGAGAAAAAAGGACAATACATATTTGACAGGAAAGAAGGAGCAAATCACAACAAAGTACCCACCAACTACTTGCGAAAAGTTTTAAAAAATGAAGAAGCTCATAAAATGATTGGAAACACACAAGGCTTACCTACACATACACTGCTTAAAACAAGATTTAAAAAAAAACAACATTGACTACATAACATAATCAAAACACATCAATATTTCAAGCATACAAGTAGAATATATCTTTAGTTTTAGGTTTTAGTAAAAGTTTTACGGCACTTGCAACACAATAAGTTTGATTAAAGGTACAAACAAAAAAGAAGGAGAGATCAGGACGATAGACGTTTGATAGGAAAGAAAAGGAGCAAAGTACACCACCAGAGCATCCACCAACCACCCGTGTATAATATATATATTCAAAAACCTTTCAAAACATAATCATCGTCAGACAGCACTTACCAACATCAACCTAAACAGTAATTTGTAATCCCAAGTCAAGACAAACAGCATCAACACATATTTACCTAAAAAAACATTTCAGAAAGTTGTCAAACTACTTTGGCTCGGTCATTTCGGAACTGGATGTTAAACTTGGAGGTCCAGCTTCTTAAATAACCTAATAGTGTTGATATGGGAGTTAAACCTTTACGGTCATTACATTAATAAACTACCTGGGTGTTTCCCTTTCGGGTGACTTCAGAGACTTTGAGCCTTTTTTCTCAGGAGATGCCTTTGCTTCTGCTCTACCGGACTTCCTCTTCCTTTTCTTCTCTGAGCTTTGGCCCTTGTTTTGCCCAGCCTCCGGAGGGTTCTCGGTCTGTGGGGGATCCTGCAGCATATCGTCATCAATATCTGCAGCTGCCGGCGCAGACGGGACTTCCTCCTCCTCCTGAGGACCTCCCTCCACACCCACCTCTGCCTCATTTTCCTCCGCTTCCTCTTGCGGTTTGGACGCAGGCCCTGGTCTTGAGCTGAGAAGTGGAGAAGAAAAGACAAGAGGTTTAAAAAAGTGTAAAAGTAGATTTTATTTTGTTACTACATTCTACTCGACACAACTAAGGTCATTTAGGCTTCCATCCTTCCTGTCTAAGCCAACCAGATCTGAGGGGGATAAACCATCCAAACATAACAGACACACTGAGACACTCTATAACAATTCTCCACACTAAGAATGGAACCAGGGTCTTCTGTATGCACACAGCAAAACATCTAATGGCTACACGAGACACCAGAACAGGGAGTTACAGATTAATTTTTTATAAAATCAGGAAAAAAGATTTTTTTCAAAGTGGGTCACTAGAATTGCATAAAACCACGAGGAAAAATCTCGTTCTTCAATTATCTCTAAACTGTAAAAACCTGACATCGCTGGATTTTTCTCTAGTGCCCTTCATGTATATAATTATAATATTTATATGGCATTTATATAGCGCTCAACACCGATTAAAGTACCGTGCACAGGCTCTGAGCGCTTTACAGTACAATAGTAACATCATGATACAATCAGTATATTGTGTTCTGATCAAAAGAAAATCTCTCTCTAAATATTTATCTCAATAATAATAATAAAGAAACAGAAATGACTTTAGCTGACATTTGAATAAATCAGAAGGATTTGATCTCTCTTAAACTACTTGAAAAAATATTCCAGATCCTGGGGTCTTGATACTCAAAGGCCCTTTCACTTTCACCCATTGTTTTTATAGATGGTAAATGAAATCTCTTTTTGTCAGCTGATGACTTTAAACTGCGAGTTGGAATATAGTTTCCGCTAATTTGATAACTATGATCATTTGATGGCACATTATCATTCAAGCATTTGTGACACAGAATGGCCAACTTGTGCATAATTCTTTTCTCAACGGGAAGCAAGTGCAGTGTCCGTAGAAGAGGTGTAGCAGAGTCTCGCTTTCTTTTGTGTAGTAGAACTGATGTGCAGCATTGTTTTAGGACAGCTTGGAGTCTTATTCCTGACAAGCAGTTAAGAATAACTCAGTCATAGTGGCTTAATGGTTGGGCTCTCAGACTCGCAACCAAAAGGTCATGGGTTCGAATCACGTCAGGGGCCCGATGTTGTGTCCTTGGGAAAGGCACTTTATTATTGTATGATATATATATA